AGAATTCATAATCCATATCTACATGTTTTGTTGTATCATGTAAGACTGGATTTACTGTCATGTACAATGCACTGAGATTGTCACAGAACAACACTGGATCTCTCTTTAAGTACAAACCAATATCTCTAAGAATATAAGTTATCCAAGTAACTTCAGTTGCAGTTGAGGCCAATGCCCTGTATTCGAATATCGAGGTTTATATCTTGGGGTACTTTTTACATGCCATGTATTTTTTTTATGTTCTACTTGTTACATGACTACTTGAGCATATCTCCCATGCTCGTACAATGTTACAGATATCCTTCACATACTAGTTTAATATTATAGTTGATAAATATGTCGGATTACATATAGGACATGCACCAAATAAATGCATTCGCATTTGTATATGTGATTCACACCTTTTTATGGTTATGGCACGTTGAGTCTGTGTGGTTTATGGTATGCATGTGAATTGGGCATGCACTTAGCACATTGAGTTTTCCATACAGGTTTTAATATGTATGTGAATTCGTGGTGTGATTTAGCACCGTAAGTTGTTCGTATATTTATAATATTACGTGTGGATATGGATCCATCCCTCATAATTCAATGTAACATTGAACCACTGGTAGTCTATGTGCAAGTTTGATTTGACACTTGGAGAGTGTCAGTTTGATGTAATATTTGAGTCTTCTTCATGCATAGACATTTAGAGGCTCTAGTAGTTGCAATTCATATAAATATTGAGTTACATTTTATTTAGGGTATTCGATACGTGCATTGGACTTGCATAGTTGAGATATGATACATCATGTCACATACTCTATTTGTTCATAACATTATATACTTGACGGTGTATAAAGTGATTATATTATTTATGTGCCTTTCTGTGCACAATGTATCTCAAGTTTTAGGACTCGAAATTTGATGATTCAAAAATGAGGTGAAAGATGACGATATGAACTATAAGAAAGACTATTTACTTGTTCAAAACAAGTAAATATTGATGCTGCACCAATTCAATGAAAGTTATGGTTCTGTGATATCAAAAGAACGAATTTAGATCAAGAAATGTGTTCTTGAAAGATCAAGAACTAAACAAGTTCCTAACATCACCACTTGGAATCAATTAACGTGATAAAGAAATACCACACACAATTGAAAACAAGATAAAGACTATCACCACCTTGCTTGTAACCAAAAATAAGGATAAAGAAAACAAAATAGAGAAAATCACTTTATTGTAAAACTAGGGCAAGCCTCAAGGAATTCTTTTCTACAAGGCAAGAGAACCCTTTATATAAGCCTAGAGTCTCTTCTTTGATGACTACAATTCCTATTCTAATAAGGAAATAAAATAACTAAAGATAAGAAAAGTAAAATCTCTATTATACAAGGAAAAGAAACTAGAATCCTACTAAAAGGAAAATCCTTATTCTAAAAGGAATAAAATAAATCCTAATTTAAGAAGGAAAGAATCTTGGCTTCCTGAAATCAATCTTGAGCTTCTTGGACTTCTTGTGCTTCTTGAAAATAAGTCCATATGTTTGGACTTGAGCTCTAAAACATGATCTTGGCCAAAATTAACAAAATTTAACATAGATTCTTCTTTTACATCATTCTCCCCTAATTGAGAAAGACTCGTCCTCGAGTCTAAAGGCTCCACAAATGGCACAAGATTGGAAACTTCCATGATTTGGTTGAACTCATATGCACCAGGCTCTAAGTTCTATTTTTCTAACTTGTCGAAGAGCTTCATCATATTGTAACAAAGTATAGCATGTGGCCGAACTAAATCCCATTTTCTCAATCGTATCTTTTTACCAATATTTCTGCAATGAATCCTCTTAAATCGATTTTTAAACACTAACCCATAGCCACAAGTTATTTTCTTTTGATCTTCAAGAATCCTGAACTTCCCTATGTCAATGTGGTACTTATGGGATATGCCCAGAAAAAGTTGATTTAGTACCACAAAAACCCTTAGAAGAATAAAATTCAAGTACCTTTGGATGAGGCTTGGAGATTGAAGTATATCTTCTTGAGAATTCATCAACAACAACGCTCTCATATTTAACTAGATCATAACCATTGATAGAATTTGTGTTAAGATTTCTTGTTCCTACATATGCTTGAAAATATTCATTCTTTGGAGGCACTAAAAAAGCTGGAACAAAATCTGAACTCAAATCCTCGATTATAGACTCCTTTTAAGCAACCCTTCCTCTTGTGTTTGTAAAATTTTATGGACTTTTGGATTAATGCAACATGCTGCCTCATTTGGAAGGATGGAATCAGCAATCAAATTAATATTATGTTGAGCATCTCTATTTATTGGAAAGTTAAGCTCACATATAGGATGCTCTAACGAATCATCTTCAAACTTCGGAGGTAAATCATCAACTTGTAGATCCAGTTCATGTTCCTCCTCCTTGATTGGACTTCAAAGATTTTTTTCTATTGATTGGACCAATTGTTTGTAATTTGGTCAGAAAAGAATCATCATTGAGCTTTAGATTTTTAGCAATTTCTTCGGGATTCAACGATAATAAAATAATCTTATGTTCATCATTTGTAAAAGATAGGTGTTAAGGTCTTCATCATATTTAGCACACCTATCATACACCCATGGTCTTCCAAGTAATAAGTGACAAGCATCCATCTTCACTACGTCATATCAAATATGGTCTTTATAGATCTTACCAATAAAAAATGATATTAGGCATTGACGAGTTACCTCTAAACCATCACTATCTTGAACTTCGATGCTATAAGGATATGGATGAATTTTGGTTGACAAGCCGAGTTTAGTGATCATCTCTTCATAAACGATATTTATATGACTCCCACGATTAATAATCAACGAACAAACTTTTCCATGGGAGGTACATCAAGTGCGTAAAAGAGATTCATGTTGTCTTGTTTCTTCATCTTCTTGAACCAAGAATTTTCCTCTTGGTAGAATATTAGACATGATTTCTCAGTCTTTAGAACTGTAGGTTATAGCTCTGATACCAAATTGATGTGATAAATTCATCGACCTGGGACCTATGGATTATAGTTCTGATACCAAATTGATGTGATTCTTCGAGTTAACAAAGAACCAACCGACCAGGATCAAGATCTTGAAACAAAAACGTGATTTGTGGGCCAATTTCAAGAAATTACGTATCTCAAGTTTTAGGACTCGAAATCTGATGATTCAAAAATGAGGTGAAAGATGACGATCTGAACTATAAGAAAGACTATTTACTTGTTCAAAATAAGTAAATATGGATGTTGCACCAGTTCAATGAAACCTATGGTTTTATGATATCAAAAGAATGAATTTAGATCAAGAAATGTGTTCTTGAAAAATCAAGAACTAAACAAGTTCCTAACGTCACCACTTGGAATCAATTAACGTGATAAAGAAACACCACACGCAATTGAAAACAAGATAAAGATTATTACCACCTTGCTTGGAACCAAAAATAAGGATAAAGACGACAAAATAGAGAAAAATACTTTATTGTAAAACTAGGGCAAGCCTCAAGGAATTCTTTTCTACAAGGCAAGAGAACCTTTTATATAGGCCTAGAGTCTCTTCTTTGATGACTACAATTCCTATTCTAATAAGGAAATAAAATAGCTAAAGACAAGAAAAGTAAAATCCCTATTCTACAAGGAAAAGATACTAAAAGGAAACTCCTTATTCTAAAAGGAATAAAATAAATCATATTTTAAGAAGGAAAGAATCTTGGCTTCCTGAAATCAATCTTGAGCTTCTTGGACTTCTTGCGCTTCTTGAAAATAAATCCATATATTTGGACTTGAGCTCTAAAACATGATCTTGGCCAAAATTAATAAAATTTAACATAGATTCTTCTTTACATAATATGATAAATGCACAGGTTTATGAAGTGAGTATCTTCCGATATCAATCCTTTCCACTTCCTTATTAGGGATGATCGATAATGCTTATTTATTTTACGTTGGTGTACGCATAGTATACTTTTGCACCCTATGTGTAGACATGAATTTAAGTTGTTGTGTAGATCATGTGCGGGCATTGAAGATCTACCAGTGTCCCAATATGGAGTTTTCAGCTAGTTCTGTAACAACCCAGCTGATCGTTTTGTGTATTTGAGCCTTGTTCTCCTATTTATATATTTGTACGCATATGACTATTGATTGACTCATTTTGTGATTACGAAAAATGGAGTTAACTGATATTGTGCCATCATCATTTTTTGAGCACGTATTTGTCGCTTAGACTCATCCGGTGGCTCTTATATTATGTGTGAACGTTGATTGACTCGTATCATGATATTGAAGGAACTAAGATAATTGATATTGTATTCTATATCTTTGTTTGAAAAGCATGTCTAAATTCCAGTTTTTACTGAGTTTCTATTGGCAGACTCATTTGATGATATCATGCCCTATTCCATGTTTCATATATGCTTATTGAGCTGTTAGTAGGTGTCGATGCTGACCTCTTGCCACTACATCTTCAAGGTTAGACTTAATACTTATTAAGTACCGTAGTTTTGTACTCATACTATACTTCTACATATTTTGTGCAGGTTCTGAGACTGGTATTTGCGGTTCCATTGAGCTGAGTAGGAGTGTGTTATTGTAGACTTCGTGGTGAGCTGCTTTTCTATTTATGTATTTCTTTTCCGGACATATGTTAATTCAGTTGAAACTTGTTACTCTTATTAGATGCTCGTGATGTAGTGACACCGAGTTTTGGGCATTGTTAGGCAATTGTGGTCGTGTTTATACCTTTACATTGATTATGTATTTATGATCTTGAATTGAAATTTTTTCCGCATTGTTATTTATATCATGAAATAATAAAGGCTTAATAATTGGAAGTTTTTGTTGCCGTTGAGTGTTGACCTGCCTTGCGAGCAGATTATGCGCCATCACGACCTTTGGTGAAATTTCGTGTCACGACCCAAAATTTCACCAAGTCGTGATATCACCTAACCCAACCGTTAAGGTAAACCAAATAGTATAAGTTACAATTATAATGAAAAATCATCAATATTAATATTAAATACTACAAGAAATTCACAACTATCCCAGGATTGGTAGTACAAGTCATGAGTCACTATGATTTTGATTTATGAAATTAATGTGAAGAATAAATACAATATCTGTTTGAAGTTTACATAAACAGAAATGAAGTCCTAAACTACCACAAACAAGAGGTACCTTGAATCTGCAATGCTTGTATATGTTCAATGTAAGGCTCCGTCTTCCACAAATACTCAGCTCTAGAATCTGCACGCATGATGCAGAAATATAGTATGAGTACAACCGATCTCATGTAATCAGTAAGTATCTTGACTAACCTTAGTGAAGTAGTGACGAGGTTTTTAAGTCAAAAAATACTCACTTTGCATAAATTGTGCAGCTCAATAACATATATAATACAGAGAAATATTCCAGAAAAGACAATTACAGAATAAAGGATATCAACAATAAACGTGCAAAACTGGGGTAGGGATAACAAACAAACTCTCCCAATTAAACAATTCAAGGATATACAATGTGCACTAAACCCGCTTGCAAGGGGACATGCACCAAATAATGTGTATGCTCAATTTCTCATACATGACTGTAAGCATGTGCCCAATATGATGCAAATCTGTATTACTTTCCAAATAACATGTTCAGGTGAACCTTACAAGAATCCAATACATTAATGCATGATGACAAATTTCCTTTTTACATCAATCTAATATGCTACCGACAACTCAATAAATATGAGATATTATCTCAACACAGGTAAATCCATCTTGACAACCAAACCGTCAAATAATAATAGAAGCATAGGAAAGCATGTTAGATGCAACAAAGACAACACGTATAATGCATGATAAAGCATAAAGAATTCACTTGTATAATCAAGAATGACACCCCCATAATCCATATTTCATCACAATAATAATATCCACTCTTATCGCTCTGTAATATCAATATCCACTTGTATCTCTCTATAATAACAATATTCACCCTTATCACTCTGCAATAACAATATCCAACCTTATCGTTCTGTAGCAACAATATCCACCCTTATCGCTTCGTAGCAACAATATCAATCATAATCGCACAGCAAAACCTCGTGCCAACATCCAATCAATCCGTCCAATATGTCCATGTGTGCTATAATCATAATAATTCAACAAATTATCATCAAGAGATATATCCTCATAATTCATTAATGAAGTACATAAGGACATGAAAATAATAAAAGTGTCGATGAGTGCTCAAGATATAAGACATGACTATAGCTAATTCAATTAGCAATGATTCCACAAATGCCCGTCTTGCATAATTAGGAAATAAAAATCCTAAAACATGAACTCTAGCATGAAAGGATAAACCCGTATAGTCATACAAAGGATCACATTTATAATATAGAGAGCACACATTCAATTCAAAGCACAACAAAAAAATAACAAGTACGGGTATGTGTTCATAACATACATGTGACTAAGCCGAGGAATGTATAGCATCAATCTCAAGATTAGTTCATCATGTTCAAAATAAGGCACCAATAGCCTTAACATTAGCTCTAGGGAGGTTTATTATGCTCACATAGTTAATTAATTGAATAACACAGAGAATCAAGTAGAACATACAACCCATAAAGGCATAGAGTTATCTAGAATTCACCCCGAGCATGAATACCCATAGCACATGTATATACGCTCATCACCTCGTATATACATCAGCCCTGCATGTAACAAACAATATAAATTATTAGGAAAATTCCCTCAATCAAAGCTAGATAAGACACTTATCTCATCGGGCTAGTCCAAAGCTCCAAAAGTGTTTTTCCTTGAGAAATCAACTCTAACCGTCTCAAATCTAGCCAAACATGTAATACCCTATATTTAAATTAGGGCATATTAGTCGTTAAGTATTTTTCTTTAAAAAAATATATAATTACAAAGAGAATGGGAAAGCCCACTATGAAGGATTAAACAAGAAAGGAAGAGGGGATTAAGAAGGGGGAAAATGCACCCAAAAGCTTCTTCCGCAACTAAACATAGATAGTATCAAGATTTAAACCCATCAAATAATTGAAATAGAGTAGCAAGAAGCTTTGAAGCTTCAGTTAATTGTGGTAAGTCTCTCAGCTAAAGAGGGGTAAGTTCTCTACGGTTTTGTTTCTCTTGTTCTCTGATTTATGGAATTCCATAGGGTACCGGAAAAAAGAATACTATAGGCAGTGGTTCGATTTGCTTTGGACTTATGCACAAATTGAGTATCATGTGGTGTTAAGAATCAGATGAATATATTATATGAAAGGGTAGAGACAAGAAGAGGAACTTAAGATGTTTTTATATAGCACAATCATGAATGTCCTATTAGATTGAGTAAAGATTCTATTAGTTTACACCAAACACTAATGTACTAGTTAGCAGTACTTGTAAAGTACTACGTGAGGACAAGAGTACTGCCTTTGTGCCAACCAAATGAAAATTTTCTTGCCCTCTATATGAAGTAGTGTCTATCCGAATATAAGAACAAAATATAGAATAAGATGCAACTCTTATCCATTTAAGTACTACTAAAGTGAATAACAGAGAATCAACGGTCATAATTCTGAGGAACGAAGCAGGGAAGTTAATTAGATGTAACACGATTGGATCCGTTGTCACACCTCCTTTTTATGGGGAAATGAGTTCTTTCACTTTAAATGATATTATTGAAATGAGATTATTTTAATTTATTTTTGAAGAGTCGCCATTCAGAATTATTTAATTACGGTGTTTCGAGTCACTATTTATTTTTAAATTCCAATTCAAGAAAAATTGACTATGTTTAAAGTCTGCAAAACACAGAAGACCAGGTAAGGAATTCTGTTAACCCGGGAGAAGGTGTTAGGTACTCCCGGGAATTTAGCACGGTTGCTTTACGATCATACTTGGCTTAATTATCCGATTATTACGCGTTTTAAAACCTATGTGTATTTTTACCTTTACCGCTTTTAATTACTTGATTGTTAAATTATGAAATTAATCTTTGAAACGAATAACGTATGTGTAAATCCGTTTTGTTCGGATTTCAAAATCATGTCACGCGTACGTGTACACAATTAATAACATTTAATTATATATTAAGATTGTTGGATCAAAGTCGCATGAACATATATTTTAATTTATTTTTGGGATCGTAATCATGTCACACGAACATATACATAATCACGATAATGATTTACAAGCACGCTTAAAGCAATCTAACGTTTTCATGATTTAGTTAATTTCTAAACGTTTGAGATTGTTGAAAGAAGTCTCATAGCTATAGAATTATTTTGTGAACAAGTTGAATCTGAAATTATAAATCTAAGTGCATGGCCTTTTAAAAGTCAGAAATGGGTTTGAGAAAAACTGCGTTAGTGTAGCAGGCATCTAACGCTAATTGATGTTATTTATTGAAACTACATTAATTTAGGACCTGTTGGCCAAAGTAAAGAATAGTTTTAAAGATTGACAAAGGAACTCAGGGATGAACCAGGTCCATCACTGGTAAGCATAGACACAGGTAGATTCAAAGCACGTGAGATGCACATGCAGGAGATAAACGAAATCTGGCATAATAATAGATACCTCCTGATCGAAAAGATTGCATAATTGATAAGGAGAACGACTCTTTACTCAACGAGAACATTATCCTAGATAAGGAAGGAGTTAGGAGTTGAGATTAACTAGAACTCTTCCACCAAGGAAGAGTAGCATTAGAACTCTAGTTATTTTCTACTCTACTAACTCTATAAATCGCAGGATGTTCTCATTCTACAGGGGACGCACAAAAGCAGAAGTTAAACGTGAATTAAGAGCAAAATAGCAAGGCATTTTGCAAGCAGTTCGTGTGTGATTCAAGTGTGCGAACCTGAAGCTACATGAACCAGATAGAAGAACCAGCTCCAAGTGTCTGTCTTTTATTCTAGTTCAATTGTAGTAGGTGTTTTCATATTGTACCTTTCAGCTTTATCTAGAGGCAATTGTAATAGGTACTCAGAGTATTCAAGTTAGAGTTAACTTGAAGTTGTCGCAGCAGTTAGAGGTTAGTTGCCACAACGGGATTAGAGTTAATCCTAGGTTTACAAAAGTATTTTGTAAATGCAGTTTTTGGTTCAGTGATTTAGTGAAAAGTTTGGAAAAATCCTACTGGGAAGTAGTTCGTGGTTTTTCCACCTTTTGAGCCAGGTATATTTCACGTAAAATACTTGTGTTCTTTAATTTCTGCATTTATTATTCCACAACAGTAGTATAAGAAACACATAGAAGAACTAGGTCCTTCTATAATTTGTGCACGCGAAAATTTGGACACCACATAAATCACCCCCCTTCTTGTGTGGTATTGACGTATAAAACATCAATTGATATCAGAGCAGGTTATCCTTGAAGAGGCTAACACCTTAGGAGAAGATCAAGATGAGTGCACCACCTAGAAACTGGGAAGGGCAATCCACTGCTAGGCCACCACTCTTCAATGGCTAGTACTACTCCTGGTGGGAAAATAGAATGAGAGACCATATTATAGGAGAAGACTATGAACTATGGGACATTGTCACAGATGGTCCATTGGCTACCATGAAGATAAATGATGAAGGAGAAGAGGCGCCGAAAACAAGAGTCGACTGCACTGCTAACGACTTAAGGGAATGGGAGAAGAGTGCTAAGGCCAAGAAATGGCTTGTGTGTGGACTTGGTCCAGACGAGTACAACAGAATTCAAAGTTGTACTACTGCTAAGGAAATTTGGGACACCTTGCAAGTGGCTCATGAAGGAACTGCTCAGGTGAAGAGGTCCAGAGGTACTTTACTATATTCTCAATATGAGAATTTCTCTATGAAGGAAGGAGAGACTATCCAAGAGATGTATACAAGGTTCACCACACTGACTAATGAACTGAAGTCTCTTGGAAGGACTCTTCTTGAAGAAGACAAAGTTGAGAAGATTCTGACTAGGGTTCTACCAGTTTCTTGGGAAAGCAAAATCACTGCAATTCAGGAATCTAAGAACATTGCAACTCTTAGGTTGGATGAGCTAATTGGAAATCTCAATGCTTATGAACTTAGAAGGCAGACCATGAAGATGGATGTGCCCAAGAAGGAAAGGAGCCTGGCACTTAGAATCACTGAAGGTGCTGATCTGGAGGAAGATGAAATGGCTATGATCACCAAGGACTTCAAGAAATACCTTATGAGAGGAAAAGGTTCTTCAAGAGGTGGAAATTACAACAAAGCTAGGGTTCTTGAAAAACGGCCAATGAGGGCTGCTACAAGTGTGGGAAGACTGATCATCATATCAAGAACTGCCCTCAATGGAAAATTGAATGGAAGAAGGAAAGATCTGAAGGAAGGAACATGAAGAAGGAACAGGTTCATCCCAAGAAGAACAAAGGATCAACAAAGGCTATGGTTGCTGCTTGGGGAGAAAATTCAGATGAGGAATCAGATGATGAAGATGGAGATGAACAAGCACTTATGGCAATTGGAGAATCAGATGAGGAATCTGAGGTAAGTATAATTCATCTCAAAGACAAGATTAAGTTTTTATCTAAAGAAAACTCTCTGAATTATTGCTAGATTTCATTGATGAATCTGAGGTAATAAATAAAGACAAAGAACAGATGTTTAAGGATTGTGTGATTTTATAAGCAAAGTGTAAGAACATGGAGCTCAGAGTTAGTGAGACTGTGAGTGAAAATACTGCTTTGAAGAACCAGGTTCATACATTTGAAGCAAATGTTCTTGAGTTAAAATCTGAAAATCTAAAACTGAAATTAGGAACCAGTAAGAAGACAGCTGATTGCACACAACTCACTTTAGAAGTAAATGTAGGAAAACTGAAAGATGAGTTGTATAGGAAGGATGAGCAGGTAAGAGTGCTAAAGGAGGATCTAGGCAAGGTCAAGCATGAACTAGACAGAACTAATAAATGGAACAGGTCCTCCGATGCTTTGTCATGGCTACAGGAACATCACAGTAGCAATATAAGAGGACTTGGCTTTGGGAATCAGCTACCTAAGTGGGATCCTAAAAACAAGTACCTCACTCTTCCTGAGAACAAGATTTGTACTCACTGTGGTAAGACTGGTCACTATAAAAGTGAATGTAACGCAAAAGAAAGGGCCAGTAAAAAGAACAAAAATTTTGTTCAAGGGAAGAATTGGTTACCAAGTTGGGCTAAAAGGAATTTAATTCATCCTTTTGCTTATAGAAAGGCACCCAAACTAGTTTGGGTTCCTAAGACTAGCCCTTGATTTTCTTTTGTAGGTTCAAGTGAAGGGGAGCAGCCAAATATGGTACATGGACAGTGGTTGGTCGAAGCATATGACAGGAAGCAAGGACCAGTTCCTTTCACTTGAGGACCTCAAAGGAGGAAATGTCTCCTTTGAAAATGGAAAGAAAGGTGAAATCATTGGGGTTGGTAAGGTTGGTAAGGATGACTCTCATTCCATTGAGAATGTCTACTTAATAGACGGCTTGAAGTATAGCCTAATCAGTGTGTCACAATTGTGTGATAGAGGTAACTTGGTAGCATTCACCTCTACTAAATATTTTGTGATAAATCTTATAACTGACAAGATTGTTTTGTAGGGTAAAAGAGTGAATAATATATATATTATAGATATGTCCACACTCTCAGAGAATGAACTAACTTGCTTAAGTGTGCTGGATAGTGATCCCCTCATTTGGCACAAGAGACTTGGACATGCAAGTCTGAGTCAACTTAACAAATTAGTCTCCAAGGACTTGGTGATAGGACTTCCTAACATCAAGTTCAAGGAAGACAAAGTTTGTGAGGCTTGTGTAAGGGGGAAGCAGGTAAGATCCTCTTTTAAATGCAAGAAAGTGGTAAGTACTACCAGAATGATGGAGCTGGTTCAAATGGATCTCTGTGGTCCAATGAGAATATTAAACAGATGTGGTAAAAGATACGTGATGGTGCTTGTTGATGATTACTCTAGGTTTACTTGGACATTGTTTTTAACATCTAAAGATGAAGCATTTGACATGTTCACTTCTTTTGTTAGAAAAACTCAGAAACAATTAGGTAATCAACTTACATCAATTAGGTCCGATCATGGCACTGAATTTGAAAATGCTAAATTTGCTAAATTTTGTGATGAGCATGGCATAGATCATAATTTTTCTGCTCCTAAGACTCCACAGCAAAATGGAGTAGTTGAAAGAAAGAATAGGACACTTGAAGATATGGTTATGACTATGCTTCTTTCTAGTAAACTGCCGCATAGCTTCTAAGCAGAAGTTGTAAGTACTGCATGCTATATCATAATAGGTTCATGACTAGACCTCTTGTTGAGAAAACTCCCTATGAGTTACTT